GTTGGCTGCTTTCTTGGCTAGTGAATCAGCAAGACGGTGACCTTTCGATACAAGATTTTTAAAATTATTCACTTGTGGTTTAATTAATTTTTACTCTTAGTGAACTATTTACTTACAGTTACTGATTTTAGTTATGTGGGTATTAATTGTATATCTTACTGCTAGTGGAGTATTTACCGTGGTAGGTTTTTTATTGATTTAAAACTATTAAAGTGTATTTCTACAAAAAATTACATGTTATTTTACGTATAGAATAGTTTAAATAATTGCTTACTATTATTATTATTATTATTATTATTATTATTATTATTATTATTATTATTATTATTATTATTATTATTATTATTATTATTATTATTATTATTATTATTATTATTATTATTATTATTATTATTATTATTATTATTATTATTATTATTATTATTATTATTATTATTATTATTATTATTATTATTATTATTATTATTATTATTATTATTATTATTATTATTATTATTATTATTATTATTATTATTATTATTATTATTATTATTATTATTATTATTATTATTATTATTATTATTATTATTATTATTATTATTATTATTATTATTATTATTATTATTATTATTATTATTATTATTATTATTATTATTATTATTATTATTATTATTATTATTATTATTATTATTATTATTATTATTATTATTATTATTATTATTATTATTATTATTATTATTATTATTATTATTATTATTATTATTATTATTATTATTATTATTATTATTATTATTATTATTATTATTATTATTATTATTATTATTATTATTATTATTATTATTATTATTATTATTATTATTATTATTATTATTATTATTATTATTATTATTATTATTATTATTATTATTATTATTATTATTATTATTATTATTATTATTATTATTATTATTATTATTATTATTATTATTATTATTATTATTATTATTATTATTATTTTTTTTTTTTTTTTTTTTTTTTTGAGCTTCGACTGCCAGGGTCATTAGCTCGTTCAACGTATATATATTAGTTCGTTATTAAATTTTCATAAACAGGTTGGTTGCTCTCAGGTATGTTAATAGTTTCTTTATTTCATTTTCGTCATTTGTTAATACTCTTTCGATTGCAGGTGAGATCCCGATTCTCCTACGAAGTGGTTCATATTCTTCGCAAAAAATTAAATGTTCGACTGTTAGGCGATTTCCGCAATTTTGGCATCTTGGACGTGCTGCGCCCGAGAGTAGGTACAGGTGAGTAGTGTTTGTATGTCCTATTCGTAATCTGCTTAATACTACCTGCTCCCTTCGTGTGGTTTCTTTGGGGTATAACCATTTTCTGGTGGAAGGTTTAATGTTTCTAAGATGTCCCTCGTAATTATTCCACTGAGTTTGCCAAATATCGTAAGATTTTCTTTTTGCGAAAGTTTTTATGTCACAGGTTGGTATGGGTATTCCTTCATCTACTCTGTCATTTGCCGCTGCTTTTGCTGCAGCATCGGCCAAATCGTTGCCAAGAATATTTGTGTGGCCTGGAACCCACATGATTGTTATAATTTTATTTACTGTAATTAGATGAGCCATTAGTTCCTGGATTGTTTTTACCAATGTGTTTTTTGAAAAACGATTTTTTAATGATTCAATGGCGCTTAATGAATCAGTACAAATTAAGCACTTTATTTTTTCAACCGATGAGAGAAAAAGGAGTGCTTGCCATATCGCATAGAGTTCTGCGGTAAAAATACTGCTAATGGGATTCAAAGTCCATGAGTGGGATTCGTTATTGACTACAAAAGCAGCGCCTACTCCCTCTTCTGTACATGAACCATCTGTGAAAATGTGTAAGTACTCAGTATATTTATTGCGTTGTTCCAGGTACAAGGCTCGATAGGTTTCAGCTGATGTTTGCTCTTTTTTCCACTCACTGAGGAAGGTATTGAAGTCTGGTGTAATTAATGACCATGGGGCACTATTTTGATGGTTTTCCAATATCTTTATATCTTCAGATATCGAGTATTTTTCTGCTAATTCTTGGAATCTAATATTAGCTGGCCTTGTAGTTGTAGTTCGTGATGCGTAAACATTTTCCCATCTTTTAAACATTCCATAATTTATATGTTCAGGAAAAGATTGCACCTTCATTGCATACGATATTGTTTGCATCTCGCGGCGTAATTGAAGAGGTAGAATAGATGACTCGATCAAAATAGCTGGTATTGGGCTGGTTCTGAATGCACCTGTTGCAAGACGAATAGCTGTCGATTGAATTCTATCAAGAATTTTTAACTTGGATGGACGTGCAGATCCGTAAACAATACTTCCATAGTCTATTCTTGACTGGATAAGTGTCTGGTATATTCTAAGTAGGATTTCCCTATCTGAACCCCATCTTAGACTTGCCATGCATTTCATAACGTTAATTACTTTTAAACATACTGTTTTTAAGTATTCCATATGAGCTCCCCAATCCAATTTACTATCGAAGATGATGCCCAAAAGCTTCGTCTGTTCTTGTATGCCAATCCTTTCTCCTCCAAGGTGTAATTGTGGTTCTGGGTGTTCTGATCGCAATCTGCAAAAATGTACAATGTGTGATTTTTCATGTGAAAAATTAAAGCCTTTTTCTTTTGCAGTTTCCTGAACTCTATTTATTTCGTTCTGCAAAGTATCTTCTATCCTGTCTATGGAGTTGTCTCGACAATAGATGGTGAGGTCATCAACATATAGCATAGCATGAACGGAAGCCGGGATATTAGAAACAAGACAATTAATTGCAATCGAGAAGAGGGTAACACTGAGGATGGATCCTTGGGGAATACCATTCTCCATTAGCCTCTGTGTTGATTCTTGGTTACCAACCCGTACGGAGAAATACCTATCTGTAAGAAAGCTTGATAATATTTTTGGTAAGTTTCCTCTTATATTCCATGCATGTATTTGTTTTAATATAGCATATCTCCATGTCATGTCGTATGCTTTTTGCAGGTCCAACATAAGCGCTACCAAATGTTGCCGTTGGAAAAAAGCATTCTGTATTTCTGCTTCCAGATTAACTAGTGCATCGACAGTTGATCGATTTCGACGACATCCGATTTGACGTTCTGAAAGAAGACAGTTTGACTCAATTATCCAGATAAGTCTTATGTTTATCATTTTCTCAAAAACTTTCCCAATGCATGATGTTAATGAGATAGGTCTATAATTTTTAATGTCTGCTACGGTTTCTTTCTTTTTCGGTATCGGAACGATGATTGCTATTTTCCAGTTGCGTGGGTATATGCCTGATAGCCATATTTTGTTATATAGCTTTAGGAGGTTTTCTTTACTGGCACGAGGTAACTGGTTTAACATGCTATAAGTTATCAAATCATGTCCAGCGGCAGTTTCTTTGCATGAGCGTATTACATGTTCGAGCTCTTCGAATGAAAAGGTTTTATTATATGTTAGATTGTCTTCTGCATTGAAATCTAAGCCTACTTTTTCCTCCTGAACCTTATGTTCCTGAAATTCGTTATTATAGTTCTGAGAACTACTAACGGATTCAAAATGGTTAGCAAGAGCTTCGCATATTTCAGAAATATCTCTAATTAGTGTATTATTAACATTTAAAGCTTCCGGTAAAAGATATTGGTTTTTCCCAGCAATCGTCCCAATTTTTCTCCAAACTTCTGATATATTAGTTTCTGTGGTAATAGATGATATATATTCTTCCCATGATTTTTGTTTGGCATTTTTAATTATTATTTTTGCGCGTGCTCTGGCTCTCTTAAATTCAACTAAATTCTCATTATTGGGATACCTTCTAAATTTGTTAAATGTCTTTTTCCTGGCTAAGACTGCCTCACGAATGTTTTCATTCCACCATGGGACTGTTCTGGATGATTTTGTGGAGGAGGATTTTGGTATACTTTCTTGTGCAGCTAGTATTATAGCATTGGTAATCACTTCTACAGCATGGTCGTTATCATTAATCATATTTGGATCAGGAATAGCGACAGTATTAAAAAATTTTTCCCAATTTGCTCTTTTAATTACCCATCTTTCCATTCGAGAAAATTCTCGATGGGGAATGTTCATTTCTATCTGTATGGGAAGATGGTCGCTCGAGTAAAGATCATTTAAGGTATCCCATGTAAATTGATGAGCCAGATTTGGTGAAACGAGTGTTAGGTCAATAGCTGAAAACGAATTTGATCTGGCACAGAAGTGTGTTGGTTTTCCATTGTTCAGTAGACATACGTTTTCTTCTTCAATTATCGTTTCAATACGCCTGCCGCATGTATCTCTTATTTGAGAACCCCATAATGGAGAGTGTGCATTAAAGTCTCCTAAGATTAAAACCGGTTCTGGTAATTGCCGTAATAAATTAATAATCTGATATATATTCCAATGTGAATCTGGTAGGTATATATTGCAAAGAGAAAGTTTTATTGGAGAGTCAATTTGAACAGCAACGGCTTGTAGCTCAGTATTTAATTTAATTTGTTTTGCAGGTATGTTGTCTTTTACAAAAATAACCACTCCTCCTCTAGCTCGTCGGTCAGGTTGGACATCTTTTCGAAAAGATTGGAAGGACCTAAGCGTAAAGTGCTCTCCAGGTTTTAGGTGACTTTCCTGGATAGCAATAACACTTGGATCAAGTTCACTTTTAATTATCTGTAGATCGGGGGTATGTAATTTTAAACCATTACAATTCCATTGTAAAATTTTTGTGTTCATAAAATTATTATATGGAAATAATAAATTATTAACTCAAAATTAACTTTTTTTTTTTTTGAGATAGTTACCCCTAATAAATAAAAGTGGGTGTGCATTATATATTAGACATGACTAAAAGTTTAAAAACATAAAATTAAATGTGTATAAATAAAACTATTTAAAAATAAATAAATAAATGTAAATATATGTATAAATTAAATAATTAATTAGATTGTAAAAAAAAAATGGGAATAAAAGTAAATAGGACTTCGGTTTTTGCAACAGTTTCTATTAGTAAAATTCTTTGTCTAAATCTGGCGGCTCTTCGATTGGATCAGCATCCATCTCAGATATGTTTTCAATATTGGTATCCGATAAAGTTGTGGTGCCAGGATTGTCAATATCTTTTTCTAGACTGGTTGTTTTTCTGGGCTTACCTTTTGGCCAGCCACGGCTTTTTTTCTTCTTGCCCTTAGTTTCTTGGGAGTTAGAAGCTGATTCACTCACAGAATCAACATCTGAACTGTACGTACGAACGCGTTTTGAAATAGGTGGTTTCACTTGTGGAACTGCAAAAGGTATATTAAGCTGACTTTTAATGGCTTCTATAAGATGGGGAATTAGGTTTTTGATAAGTTCTTCTGTATTTACCGTTGGAGGAACTGGAGGGTGAGATGTGGCTGCTTTCGAATAAGATACGTTTATTTTAGGAGTAGGTATTATAACTTTCTTTTTCGCCTCAGGGTAAGATAAGTTTTCTTTAATTTTGATCTCCTGGATGGCAGCTTCTTGCTTATATACCGGACACTCTTTAGATCTAGTTGAGTGGGAGCCTTCACAATTGACACACTTGATTGGTGGAGTACAAGGTTTCCCCGTGTGAATTGGTTCTCCGCATACACATACCTGGGGTTTTTCGCAGCGCATAGAAGTATGTCCAAAATGTTGACATCTAAAGCATCGAAGTGGAGCTGGAATGTATAATCTTACATTAAGGGAATAAAAGGCAACTTTAACATTTTTAGGAAGGATTGGAGAGTTAAAAGTTAATATGTGGTTTGGAGTATCTTTTAGTTCACCATCACGTTTCGTTTTAATTCTAGAGACAGAAATTACACCTTGGTTTGCGAGTTCTTCTTGAATTTCTTCTACAGTACAATTAAGTAAATCAGGGCAATAAATTATTCCTTTGGAGTTATTTAAAGTTTTATGCGGGATTACTTCGACTTCTATGTCGCACAGTTTTGTCATTGTTAATATTTTCTTAGCTTGTCTTGGTGAGACCGTTTCTAATAAAAGACCTTCTTTAGTTTTCTTTGTCATTTTCGTAGGACCACAAATACCGTTCAATGCTTTCTCAATTAAGAATGGACTAATTTTAGAGAAGTCGCCTTCTTTCCTTTTAACGACCAAAAACCGGGGCAACGCCTCCTTTTTCTGGTTCGTATTATTGTTGTCTCTGTTTTCTGAGGGAGACACCTCAAGAGGGTTTGTAGCTCCTAAATCCAAATTAGGTTTATTGCTGTTTAAAGAATCCATATAATTCCCACGAGTTGGGCAGAACTAAAGGTCCACCGCAGCAGTGCTCCCTTACTACGGAAAGGCGAAATACAAGTGAGGGTTGCCTGGCCTCACAGGGAATCGTTCGAGACTAACTCCGTATAGCCATGCATCTCTCGGCACGATGTCTTACACCTTAGATTACGGATTTTTTCTAAGGTTTACTCCTTAGTGCCAATTTTGGTTCACGCCGATTTGATCGGTACCACCCATATCTGGGTAGCATTCCCCTATCCACCACCTGGGGACGCGCTGGATGGGAGATTGGCAACTCCACACCAGTATTATTATTATTATTATTATTATTATTATTATTATTATTATTATTATTATTATTATTATTATTATTATTATTATTATTATTATTATTATTATTATTATTATTATTATTATTATTATTATTATTATTATTATTATTATTATTATTATTATTATTATTATTATTATTATTATTATTATTATTATTATTATTATTATTATTATTATTATTATTATTATTATTATTATTATTATTATTATTATTATTATTATTATTATTATTATTATTATTATTATTATTATTATTATTATTATTATTATTATTATTATTATTATTATTATTATTATTATTATTATTATTATTATTATTATTATTATTATTATTATTATTATTATTATTATTATTATTATTATTATTATTATTATTATTATTATTATTATTATTATTATTATTATTATTATTATTATTATTATTATTATTATTATTATTATTATTATTATTATTATTATTATTATTATTATTAGTATTATTATTATTATTATTATTATTATTATTATTATTATTATTATTATTATTATTATTATTATTTACATCAATGACTTACCACTAAACTGCGATACGGCAAAATGCTTCCTGTTTGCTGATGATACAGCAATTGCTACCAGAGGCAATGTGCAACTGAACACAGAGAGTCTTGCCAGAGCAGAAACTTGGTTCTCAGCTAACAAACTTAAAATGAATCCTACAAAAACACAGGTAATTTTATTTAGCTCCAGCAAATTGAAAGAAAAATCGGTTCCGGTTAAGTACTTGGGTATAACGCTGGACACATATCTTAACTGGGCAGCTCATATAGATTCTCTTTGTTCAAAGTTGGCCTCTCAAATATTTGCTCTGCGACAGCTGCGACATTGTTTAAATAATGATTGTATCAGAACAGTTTATTTTGCTATTATACATAGCCACTTGGCGTACGGTATCATACTGTGGGGCAATAGCACTAACGCGGATAAGGTTTTTCGTATGCAGAAAACTGCTTTAAGAATTATTGATGGAGCTAAACATGATGCACATTGTAGAGAGCTGTTCAAAAAATACAATATTCTTACTCTACCATGCTTATATATTTTGGAAACAATTACCTTAATTCATAAAAATCTGACCTTATACCGGACACATGCTAATGTTCACATGTATGATACTCGGAATGCTAAGAATATTGTACCAACATTCTCTCGTCTTGAAATTTCTAAAAATAATAAATTAGATGTTGAATTGTATAATAAATTTGATAGATTTAATAAAACAAAAAATATTAATAACTTATCTGTAAATGGATTTAGGAATGTAGCTAAAACATTTCTTAATACTCATTGTTTCTATTCTGTAAATGAATACAATTGTTTTTTGTCTTAGTAAATATTATGTAATCAACCTCAAATGTACATATGTATGTAAAGTGGTTAATAAATGGTATGGTATTATTATTATTATTATTATTATTATTATTATTATTATTATTATTATTATTATTATTATTATTATTATTATTATTATTATTATTATTATTATTATTATTATTATTATTATTATTATTATTATTATTATTATTATTATTATTATTATTATTATTATTATTATTATTATTATTATTATTATTATTATTATTATTATTATTATTATTATTATTATTATTATTATTATTATTATTATTATTATTATTATTATTATTATTATTATTATTATTATTATTATTATTATTATTATTATTATTATTATTATTATTATTATTATTATTATTATTATTATTATTATTATTATTATTATTATTATTATTATTATTATTATTATTATTATTATTATTATTATTATTATTATTATTATTATTATTATTATTATTATTATTATTATTATTATTATTATTATTATTATTATTATTATTATTATTATTATTATTATTATTATTATTATTATTATTATATTTGAATCGGTCATTTGAGAAACGACACAAAAATACAATATTTAAAGGTAAATTGTACTTATTGTATTATACCCAAAATAGAGCAAGTTTTAAACGCAAAGTGTACTAAACTATTTTTTAACTATGTTTTGAGATTTTCACTTTTTCTTGTTTTTGAAAACTGATCTACAACTGACATGTGCTGTTTCTTGAATGACCAAAACATTTTTAGTTTATTTTTGGTTTCTCTCGTATTTTAAACGGTAGGTACTTTAATTTGCTTTTTTTGCTTGTTTTTTCTTTTTATTCCTCGATAAATTTTCTGATCATGTACCAAGAACTACTGCCTTTTGCATCTTAATGTATATTGTTAATCGTACCTCTAACTTGTTCAGTGCTTCATGGAAATTACGTGGTACTACTTCTGCAAATATAATTATGGGCAAAATGTATACTGCTTTAACCTGCCATAGCTGTTTTACTTCAAGAAGTAATTCGACATATTTTTTAATTTGAAATAGCAACGTCTATCAAGAACGCAATATTATTATCTTTGTCAAAAATTGTTATATCTGGCCTATTATGAGATACTATTTTATCGGTTAAGAGTCCTCGATCCCGGTATGAACTATTTTCCAAAATTTTTGGGGGTTAGACTTGTAGTAGGGAATGGTTTTTTTTTAATTTATATTTTACAGATCACGCATTATTTTCACTATATTATTATGTCTTACTTTATATTCAGTTTGTGCTAGTACTTGGCATCCGGAAATTATATGTTGAATATTTTCAACAGCAGATTTACTCGTGTCATCTTCGGTACCATCCGTTATAACATTTTGGTTGTAGTTTTTTGTACTTATCAACTGTTACAACTGCAAGATGCATTTCTGAGGTCTGTTGTTTTTCAAGAAAGTATTTCTTTGGAATATTTTTTTTCTCAGTAAGTTGCTGATATCAATTAACCTTCTTTCACCTTCCGTGCGAGGTAACGTAATCCGTTCGATAGCGGATCTTGGATGACCATCATGAACACTTCTGTTTCCGGAAACAGAGAACTGTAAGACAGCCATGGGTGGGATGCAATCTTGTCGACATGTAGTTGGTTTAGTGCCTGTGCATGTTTTTTATGTAGCGCTTTTTGAAGCCAAGATTGATGTCTTTTAGAGCTGCTTGTGATTGAGAATTTACCATCTCCATTTAAATTAAGCAGTGAATAATTATCATCAACTGTTACAACTCCAAGATGCATTTCTGAGATATGTTGTTTTTCAAGAAAGTATTTCTTTACAATATTTTTTTTCTCAGTAAGTTAACCTTCCCCCACCTTCCGTGCGAGGTAACGTAATCCGTTTGATGGCGGATTTTGGATGGTAGAATCTAACATTTGTTAGTGATTTGTATGTTATCCTTTATAGTTCGTTTATATCTGTTTGCGTCCAATGGATAACACCAATTGGCAATAATAATAGTCATCCCTATCGTGCACATACTCTATTTCTGGGTTTAAAATTCACTTGTAAGAAAATAAACAGCGATAATATAATTAGTATTATTATTATAATTATTATTATTATTATTATTATTATTATTATTATTATTATTATTATTATTATTATTATTATTATTATTATTATTATTATTATTATTATTATTATTATTATTATTATTATTATTATTATTATTATTATTATTATTATTATTATTATTATTATTATTATTATTATTATTATTATTATTATTATTATTATTATTATTATTATTATTATTATTATTATTATTATTATTATTATTATTATTATTATTATTATTATTATTATTATTATTATTATTATTATTATTATTATTATTATTATTATTATTATTATTATTATTATTATTATTATTATTATTATTATTATTATTATTATTATTATTATTATTATTATTATTATTATTATTATTATTATTATTATTATTATTATTATTATTATTATTATTATTATTATTATTATTATTATTATTATTATTATTATTATTATTATTATTATTATTATTATTATTATTATTATTATTATTATTATTATTATTATTATTATTATTATTATTATTATTATTATTATTATTATTATTATTATTATTATTATTATTATTATTATTATTATTATTATTATTATTATTATTATTATTATTATTATTATTATTATTATTATTATTATTATTATTATTATTATTATTATTATTATGCTTAAAATGGCAGTTTAAAATACACTTATGAACAAATATTTAATACTTTGCATTGATTTATACCTACACCTAACACAAAAACCTTGTACGATAGATAGCGCTCCATGAAAACGTGTACGACCTCGACCTAACCTGCCCTGTAAGCTATGACCATCCAGTACAAAAGGTAATACAAAAATACTTAACAAGTTGAAGCAAACATGAAATTTTTTTAGAGAAATATCGGCTAAAGGTTTCTCGTTCACGAAAAATTCAAGGTGAGGACTTCTTTTTTAGAAATTTCAGAAAAAATGGACCTGATGATATAAAAACGCTTGGTATTTGAACCTGATACTCTGTCGGCACGGTTGTTACGCTTTTCACTTTCGTAAATCTGACAACGCTACATATAACTATGTTAACTATAAGTAGGAGATATGCGCGTCGTTATCATCATAACATCATAGATATCCACTTTAACAGATATGTGGTGGTCCTAATTTAAATTGGGCATATTTCGAATTACGTCCCTTTGCCTCTCCAGGAAAAACATAA